CAACAGAATTTCCAACTCTACTTTCCGGGCCATTTCACTCGGTCTGGACATAACATGACAGTTTATGCCCAGATTTAGGAGAGTGACTTGGTCCTCAGTGAGGTTAATTCCTGCAAGGTTCAGGAAGCCATCTCTTGGTCGTGGAATTGCCATAGGTCCTCCATATAATGTTGTTAGTTTCTTGATAATCCTTGTTTCAGTGCTGAGGTGATGTTGGTCTGTGAGGATGTCGAGGTGTTGTTCAATGCGGGTACGGATACTATGGTCGATGTTGCTATTTCTCCACTCGTTTGTAGCATGAAGTAGTTGCGTTTTGTTGTCTTTGATTTCATTCTCTGCCTTGTATATCTGATCACGAATCAGATCCTGGCGATATTTTATCGTGAAGGCTTGATTCCTTGCTGCTGGGTCGTGCACTTTAACATTAGTATATTTTGGTAGCAGTCTTTCCTGTAGACATATATTATTAAATATGACCGAAAAAGTAAGATTAATAATTCTAACACGAATTTTCTCAATCTTTCGTACATTACGCTTCACTGTTGGAGGTAAATCAAAAATCACTTCTCCAAAATTCATTTTTATTTCTAGTCTGACGCGACACGGGCGCGTTTCGTAAAACTTATTACATTTTCAAAGACTTCACAAATACACAACTGATTAGAACTTGCGTTTCCCTGATTTTATATCTACATTTGAGTGAGGTGGGAAGGGTGATGTGGCATTACATTTGAGTGAGGTGGGAAGGGTGATGTGGCATTAACACAAGACAGAACACTAGGGGATATTAATAGGGTATTAAAAGTATCAACACAAGACAGAACAGAAACAATGGGTATTGAATAGAAGTGTTTGTAGAAAGCCTATTGGTCCATATTTCTTGATGCTTCTATATTGGAGCGGAGTCTTGAGGTGGGTAGAATATAGTTGTGCAATAATTGGCTGTTGATTGCTGGTGTTGACTTCTTGATGTGTAGTGCCTCGCAAACGTCAAGCCGCCTGCTATCGCTGTATCTATCGATGATTTCTGTGTTGTTTACTAGGATTTCTCTGGCGATGGTTTGGTTATGGGAAGAGATTATATGTTCCTTAATGGAGCCCTGTTGTTTGTATATATATATATATATATATATATATATATATATATATATATATATATCACCCTTCCCACCTCACTCAAATGTAATGCCACATCACCCTTCCCACCTCACTCAAATGTAGATATAAAATCAGGGAAACGCAAGTTCTAATCAGTTGTGTATTTGTGAAGTCTTTGAAAATGTAATAAGTTTTACGAAACGCGCCCGTGTCGCGTCAGACTAGAAATAAAAATGAATTTTGGAGAAGTGATTTTTGATTTACCTCCAACAGTGAAGCGTAATGTACGAAAGATTGAGAAAATTTGTGTTAGAATTATTAATCTTACTTTTTCGGTCATATTTAATAATATATGTCTACAGGAAAGACTGCTACCAAAATATACTAATGTTAAAGTGCACGACCCAGCAGCAAGGAATCAAGCCTTCACGATAAAATATCGCCAGGATCTGATTCGTGATCAGATATACAAGGCAGAGAATGAAATCAAAGACAACAAAACGCAACTACTTCATGCTACAAACGAGTGGAGAAATAGCAACATCGACCATAGTATCCGTACCCGCATTGAACAACACCTCGACATCCTCACAGACCAACATCACCTCAGCACTGAAACAAGGATTATCAAGAAACTAACAACATTATATGGAGGACCTATGGCAATTCCACGACCAAGAGATGGCTTCCTGAACCTTGCAGGAATTAACCTCACTGAGGACCAAGTCACTCTCCTAAATCTGGGCATAAACTGTCATGTTATGTCCAGACCGAGTGAAATGGCCCGGAAAGTAGAGTTGGAAATTCTGTTGGACGACATATTCGACCTCGAGACACAAAAGAAGGTCACTACCAAAGATACCTTACAAGCAGAACTTATTGCAGAAGGAGGAAAGAATCGAGGCAACTACAGAAGCACCATACTGTCCCCCGAGCTTAAAGCGGCAGCTAAAAGCCTTCGTGAGAACAAGGAGATAGTTGTCAGGAGAGGTGACAAGTCGCCAATATATGTCATTCTTAAAAAAGACGAATATCTGGCGAAAATGAACATCATACTCTCTGACCAAACTAAGTTCCAAAGGGTAACGAAGGACACTACAGCCGAATTAAAAGCAAAGGTCAACAAACTGATCGAAACTGTGAACGCCAAGAAATCCGGACTCCACCTGCCAAAGATCATTGGGGAATATAAACCTGGATATGCGTATGGAAATGTCAAGACGCACAAGCCTGGAAACCCACTTCGGCCAATCATTAGCCAGATACCCACACCCACGTACAGACTGGCGAAGCGACTCAACGGCCTGCTGACTCCTTATGTTCCTTGCGCCTTCAGCCTGAAGTCTCCAAAGGAATTTGTGGACTTACTGCGGGGCGCACGGGCCACAGGGATAAGAGCCTCGTTGGACGTAGAATCGCTGTTTACCAACGTACCTGTGGACGAGACAATCGGAATGATAGCCGACAGAGTGTATCGTGATCCAGCCTGTACTCCTCTTGACATGCCAGAAAGTATTCTGAGGAAACTACTCCAAGCTTGTACTAAAGAGGCACCCTTCTTGAGCCCGGATGGGCACATGTATAAGCAAGTAGATGGGGTCGCCATGGGTTCTCCCCTAGGTGTCCTGTTTGCAAACTTCTACATGGGTACCATCGAGCAAAAAGTCTTAGTCGACATGAACTTGAAACCGGCCATATACTGCAGGTATGTTGACGACATTTTTACACAGGTACCTGATGTCAGACATCTGCAGGAGCTGAAGGAGGCATTTGAGCAGAGTTCCGTGCTGCGTTTCACTTACGAGACGGAAAAGGATGGGAAGCTGCCTTTTCTAGATGTAACAGTCATGGAAAAGGGCGGAGGTTTCCACACTGCAGTCTACACAAAGGAAACAAACATAGGAATGTGCCTAAATGCCAACAGCGACTGCCCTGACAGGTACAAGAGGAGTGTTGTTAACGCATACGTCGACCGTGCTCTCAGCCACAGCTCAGAATGGAAGCAAGTCGACGAAGAACTCTGTAGGGTAAGGCAGGTCCTAGTCAATAACGGCTTCTCCAATGGTTTCATCGAAGACATCATAAGAAGGAAAGTGAAAAGCCATGCAACCTCCGAAGAGACAACTAACACAACACCTATACCCCCTATTAGACTATTTTACAGGAACTTCTTTTCCACAGCTCATAAAACAGAGGAAAGGGTCCTGAAAGATATTGTTAATAGAAACGTTATCCCTACAGACAAAAATCAGAGGATACAACTGACGATTTACTATAAAACCAGAAAAACGGCCAGCCTACTCATGAGAAACTCTCCAGACACAAAACAGAACGCTTTAAAAGAGACTAACGTCGTCTATGCCTTCAAATGCCCACTTGGGGACTGTAAGCTCCAAAAAACCCAGTATATAGGCAAGACAACAACATCTCTTTCTAGGCGTTTAACGATGCATAAACAACAGGGCTCCATTAAGGAACATATAATCTCTTCCCATAACCAAACCATCGCCAGAGAAATCCTAGTAAACAACACAGAAATCATCGATAGATACAGCGATAGCAGGCGGCTTGACGTTTGCGAGGCACTACACATCAAGAAGTCAACACCAGCAATCAACAGCCAATTATTGCACAACTATATTCTACCCACCTCAAGACTCCGCTCCAATATAGAAGCATCAAGAAATATGGACCAATAGGCTTTCTACAAACACTTCTATTCAATACCCATTGTTTCTGTTCTGTCTTGTGTTGATACTTTTAATACCCTATTAATATCCCCTAGTGTTCTGTCTTGTGTTAATGCCACATCACCCTTCCCACCTCACTCAAATGTAATGCCACATCACCCTTCCCACCTCACTCAAATGTAGATATAAAATCAGGGAAACGCAAGTTCTAATCAGTTGTGTATTTGTGAAGTCTTTGAAAATGTAATAAGTTTTACGAAACGCGCCCGTGTCGCGTCAGACTAGAAATAAAAATGAATTTTGGAGAAGTGATTTTTGATTTACCTCCAACAGTGAAGCGTAATGTACGAAAGATTGAGAAAATTCGTGTTAGAATTATTAATCTTACTTTTTCGGTCATATTTAATAATATATGTCTACAGGAAAGACTGCTACCAAAATATACTAATATATATATATATATATATATATATATATATATATATATATATATATATATATATATATATATATATATATATATATATATATATATATGTAATAGTATAGAGGATAGGATTCATTATTATTATATGTGTATATATATTGTGTATGTGCTCTGTCCAGTAAATGTATTCAAATTTGCTGGTATTTGACCTTGTCCTAGGGAGGCTTCCCATGAAATAGTACAGAAGGAGAGAGAGAGAGAAAGAACCAAGAACCACTGCTGTGGACAGGGTAGAAGGTAATACTAGTAAGTCAAAGGGGAATTGAAGAGATCATATCACCTAAGGAGAGAGTGGGGAGTCACAGCGGCTCGAGTGGGTGTGTGCACGTGACAACGAGGCTAAGTGTTGGAGCCGCATCCCCTAAATGTGTGACGTTGAGCCCCTCTCCAAGGGCCAGAAGTGCCTAGTGTGATCTCCTAGAGAGGTATAAGCATTCTACCGAGTTGTGGGTTGGGTTGTCCGTAGAGAAGGATCAACGACGACAACACCACCAACCAACACACAATCTATAATACTTGTCACTGCTGGATACCCATTCTGGTATATATCTCTGTATCTATAAGAGAACATCTGATTGTCTGTTTGTCTGTCGCTCCATGGATGGAGGCCAGATGCTTGGGGCTAGCCTCCCCCATTTTTCCCGGGGAATGATCTGGTACATGGGACGGACATAAGCTGGTCGGGGTCACCAGAATTCAAGAAAAACAGCCAGATTCCGACAAACACTGACTCCCACGACTGATTTTAGAACTGCCCTCCAGCCATGTCTGACGAAATATTTGAAGAATATAAATTAACAAATAAATTTTCTTACATAAGTGTAATGTGCCAGAAAATAAACACAAATTTTATAGTCATCATACTCTGCCCATTGTAGCATAAAAACAGAATATCCTCCCAAATCTTCAAAGGATTTCTCAAAGCCTAAAAGAAACTATTATACTTTTATAATGTTTCACACTGATTGGTTCTTTCCACTGGCAGACCACCAGCACACTAATGGCATATCATTAAATTGTTTTATAAGAGTGAGACACGGACAGAGACAGGGAGATGGAAAAAACAGAGGCAGACCGAGACAGACAGACATATATAGAAAAATAAACACAGAATAAGACAGAGAACGACACACAAACATTTAAAGAGGCATACAGAAAGAAAGCCTATAGAGATAGGCCGGTAGAGAGACTGTGTCGAACAGTGCAAAGAGACTGTAAGACTGACAGAAAAACACAGACACAGACAAGGAAGTACATATTGACAGACAAATGCAGACACTGAGACAGAAAGAAACAAAGATAGAGAGTAAGTCCTCATGGGTTAAGTGGAGCTAATCTAGTCAATAAGTAATCCTCAATGGAGAACAATTCGGAAACCACTCAATTGGTGCAAGAGTTCTACAAGGTAGTGTGCTTACCCTCTGTTGTGGAATATCTATTTCAGCTATCAACTTCATCTCATTCTTGAAGCTCATGCCTATGCTTATAACTACATTGACGTTCACATACAGAAGGGAAGGAATGCAAGCCGCTACAAGAAACATTAATAACCAACTCTCAGCAATTTATACCTCGGGTAGGAGATGGTAGGTCACATTTGCAGCAGAGAAAACACAAGTGATTATGATAACTAAACTGCACATTTCAAGTCGGGCAGGCTTGCAAATAGGTGGCAAAACCCTAGAATTCACAGATCAAATTGACATTTTGGAAATTAAGTTCAACTCTACGATGACAATGAAGAGCCACGTGCTTAACCTAGTCCAAAAAGCAGCCAGAAAACCTACAGCACTACTGTGCATCACATCTTGTTGGCAGCAGAGGCTGTAAAACCTTCTTGGAAGCACAAGTTTACTCTCATCTTGAGAACGCAACCTTTCCCTGATCGCCTGCTCCCCATCATTCATCAGACTTTTGGACAAGTGGAGAGTGTGAGGAGTGTAAAACACCAGATAGCTTATATCTGGTGTTCTATCTAGATAGTTCTTATAACATAAATATAACATTTATATGATGTCAATATAATGTTATTTACACGACATCATTACGTTATTACGATGTTATATTAACGTATAATTCCTGTATGAAAACCAGAATATTATATTGAACCTTATGTTTTAAACCTTGTAAATTTATCATAAAACTTGGAATAAGACGGTAAACATGCTTTACTTATGAAAATATAGAAACAAATCAACAAAAACATTTTAACATAAAAAACATAAACATAACATAAATTAACTGCATGCATGGGAGTTAATTGGAACTCTGTAATATTGCATACATGAACCTTGAGGTACAAACACCGTGTATTTACCCATGCAGTTCTTTCCTAAATCAAATTTTTTCAAATTTTTACATTGTTTTGAGTTCTGTCTTGTGTTGTTACTTTTTAATACCCCTCTTAATGTCCCCTTTATTATGTCCATTCATCCTATTGTACACCTCTACCATATGTCACTCCTAATTCTTCGCCTTTCTAGAGAATGCAATTTAAGCTTTGACAATCTTTCTTCATATGACAGGTTTCTAATTAGCACTTTCGCCCACTAATGACGAAGTATGGAGTCAAACTTTTAGCTGCTAAAACGCTAAAATTTGCTAAATTTTAGCAAATAGAATTTGCTAAAATTCAGGTTTTTATCCAATTTTAGGGGGACTGAATTTAAACTGCGCGCCAACGCCTTCCCGTTTTGAACTACTGAAGAACAAATGTTACCATTAATATATGGATAACTATTATAAGTCAGTTTGAATGAGTGAATTGCTGCTTGAAGATAGGGTATACACCTGTGGTACTATCAGATTGCAGTGTGGTGAACCTTAAGCCCTTCAGATCCAAGCAAAGGGTAAAATGCCAGTAGATACAATTGCAAACACATTGATACCAAAATGAAAGACCTATGACGAGAATTGAGGTAACCAAAGTGAAAAGAGTGTACACATTACATTGCTCATGTAACTTTCCTGGGGTAACTTTTGGAGTTTATATGCATTTAAACCTGTAGCTAATTCTTTTGCTAACACGTTGATAGCAAATTGAGAAACCTAAGACGAGAATTTAAGTGACAAAGTTGAAAAGATTATACACTGTTCAGTAGTACCACGCTCTCTAATGGAAGGCCCGGCACTGCATGGCGCTCTCTTCCGGGTAATGAGGCCTGCTTTCATCACGTCGGTGGGAGGAGTGCGCTGCTGTTTTTGACATTTTATGCATATACTCCCGTTGGGAATTCTACTGCGAACACATTGATACCAAAATGAAAGACCTAGGACGACAATTGAGGTGAACAAAGTGAAAAGGGTGTATGCATTTTATGGCTCTTGCACATTCCCGGGTAACATGCTCTCACTTTATCTGTTTGTTGCGGGTGGTAAGCCGAGTTTTTGGAGTTTATATGCCTTTAGTCCTGCAGAGAATTTTATTTCAAACACAATGATACCAAATTGAAAAACCTAGGACGAGAATTAAGGTGACAAAGTTGAAAAGAGTATAAACTTTTCAGTATTACCGTGCCCTCTAAAGTAATGAGAGGCACCTTGAGGTGGTGCGGCTCTCTCTTTATGGTAACCACAGCCTACATTCATCTTGTCAGCGGGTGGAGCGCGCTGCTGTTTTTGACATTATATGCATATACTCCAGTTGGGAATTCTATTGTGAACACATTGATACCAAAATGAAAGACCTAGGACGAAAATTGAGGTGACCAAAGTGAAAAGAGTGTACACATTTTATCGCTCTTGGGGGCTCCCGGGTAACATGCTCTCACTTTCTCTGTTTGCTGCGGGTGGTAAGCCGGGCTTTTGGAGTTTATATGCATTTACTCCTCTAGAGAATTCTATTACGAACACATTGATACCAAATTGAAAAACCTAGGAAGAGAATTAAGTTGACAAAGTTGAAAAGAGTATACACTTTTCAGTATTACTGCACACTACCACAGAACGTCCAAAACCACTCTAGATAGTGGAGGGTTTGCTCGCCCAAAACGCGGAAGTGTTATGGGGGATTAAATTTGTTATCCTACGCTGGACATATTTGAGCGAATTTATATCCATTCTATAATATGGCGACCAAAAGTGAAGTGCATATATATCTAAATGGGGCTTAACCAGAGCAAGATATAGCTGAAGAACAACAGATGTCTAATTATTACTAATGTTTCTGTACATAAATCCCAGTGTTCTGTTTGCCTTATTACGAACATTTAGGTATTGATTTTTCGGTTTTAAATTCTTACTAATCATAACTCCCAGATCCCTTTCGTAATTCGATTTCGCAATCTCAGCACCATGCATCTAGCTTATATCTTGTAACTCTATCATCATTACCTATCCTCTAAACCTTACATTTGTCAGCATTAAACTGCATCCGCCAATCTTTTGACCATTTCAGTACCCTATTTAGATCATCTTGAAGTGATAGTGAGTCTTTTTCCGTGTTCAATACCCTCTCAATTTTTGTATCATCGGCAAATTTGCAAATATTGCTGCTCAAACCTGAATCTAAATAATTTATATATATTATGAATAACAGAGGTCACAGAGCCAGTGACCTCTGGCTCCAGTGACCAGAACAGAGCCTTGGGGCACTCCACTTACATTTTCCCACTCTGACTTAACCCCATTGATTCTAAATCTTTGTTTCCTTTGGTATAGCCATGCCTTAATCCAGCTTAATATAGAACCCCCAATACAGCGAGCCTCTATCTTTTTAATCAGTCTTTTATGAGGCACTGTAGCAAAAGCTTATATTATGAGTGGGGAGTCCATATAAACAACTGGGCCTCTACCCCTTTCAGACCGAACTATTTGCCTTGCTTCTTGCACTGAAATGTGTACAAGTCTCTAAACTTGATACATTAATTGTGACTCTTTTAACATCCTTAATTACTCTCAACTCTTTAAGACATAACTGTAACATGCACGTGTCTGAAGGTAGACACAAATACAACAAAATTATTAATGATAACAAGAGACTTCGAACTAGGTACCTCACAGGAAGGTGTCCTCAGTCCTACCTTATTTAATATCTTAATAAACACGCTGTTAAACTCTGTACCGAGCAAACCCAACGTGCACATCATTATAGCTATGTTGATGATATAATGATACACACCACTTGGTATGCTAACATGCAGAACACTCTTAACTCTGTATTAGACTCATGTCAGGACCTAGGTTTAGTCATCTCAGCAGAGGAAACAAAGATACTAAATCGGCGTCCATCCAGGCAGGGAGGAGCTGTTCACAAGATGCAACTGTCTGATAGCTCCCAGCTTGACTATGTAAACTGATTCATATACCTTGGCCTTGAGGTGCCACTGTATGGTCCTGTTGTATTCAGACTCTGTCGTCAGTATAAAGACTCCAAGCTCTCAAGGCTGTTGCACGTTATCACTCAGGCTATGGTGCCAATGTCAGAATTCATTGATTTGTCATGTTAGTAATAAGGCAAATAGGACACTGGGATTTATTAATCGAAGCGTTAGTAACAAGACACCTGGTGTTGTTCTTCAGCTATATCTTGCTCTGGTTACGCCCCATTTAGATTATGCAGTACAGTTTTGGTCGCCGTACTATAGAATGTATATAAATTCACTTGAACGTGTCCAGCGTTGGATGACAAAGTTAATTCCCAAAATTAGAAACCTGTCATATGAAGAAAGATTGACAAAGCTTAAATTGCATTCAATGGAAAAGCGAACAGTTAGGGGGTGACATGATAGAGGTTTAAAAGTGGATGAATGGACATAACAAAGGGGATATTAAAAGGGTATTAAAAGTATCAACATAAGACAGAACACGAAACAATGGGTATAAATTTGACAAGTTTAGATTTAGGAAAGACTTGGGTAAATACTGGTTCGGTAACAGGGTTGTTGATTTGTGGGACCAATTACCACGTAACGTGGTGGAGGTGGGATCCCTCGATGGTTTCAAACGACGGTTGGACATATATATGAGTGGGGATGGGTGGTTATAAATAGGAGCTGCCTCGTAAGGGCAATAGGCCTTCTGCAGTTACCTTTGTTCTTATGTTCCTAATTGTCAAAATGATGTACCTTGCATATATCGAATCTTTAGTGGATTATGTTACACCTCTGCTTGCTTTAAGGCCTGAAAGAAAGCTTGGAGGGCTTGAAAAATTGCAGAACGAAGCCTTGAAGATAATCCTTGGGTGCCCTTGTACCACAAAGATACTTAACATGATGAAGGAACTTAATATTCGGAGCGTTGTTTATCGTATTACTGAAATTAACTGTCAAATTGGTAAAAAATGCTTAGGTTAGCTCATCCTAACCCTTGCACAGAAGTCATCGAGAATTTCTTTATTGAATGTAAACATTGTTTCAAATGGATAATAAAACTGGAACTGAATTCAATGGGCGATGGTTTATATTTTCAGTAGGGAGTCAGTATAAATAACTGGGACTCTTAACCTTCAGACTAAAATATTTGCCTTGTTTCATGC